AACGCCTTCAAATGCTCAGAATCAGTTCCCGGGCACATTAATAAAAAAATCATTTCGACTTAACTGCTCCTAGCGCGAGAATGGTTCTGCCATGCACGCGCTTAAATGGGCAAAGATCAAGTAGCACCTCAAGTAGCACGAATTTTTGCTAAACTAAATTTACCAATTGATAGAGCCTTATATGTAATCTGCAGAAACGTGGCGGAAAACAAAGATCCATCCTTGCCATAAGCAATTCATCGTCTCCCAGGGAAATCTTTCCACATTCCGTCAGTAAAATCTCGGTTGCCTCCGGAAACGACAGTCGTTTGGCTTCACTAAAGCCACCTCAGACCCACGTTGGCTTCGTTTGCCCATTGTTGCAATGTAAGCCGCCAAATAGGATTTTGGATGGATGGAAACGTGAAGGAGCATTGGTACATGCTACAAGTTTTTGATGACATAAGAAAAGTTTGGAATTATGGCTGTCACGTTGAGTACGGGTTTGAATGTTTGTCCAAATTAATAATGCCAAAGTTCAATATCTTGAATATGGTCCATATTACTCTGAAAGCCAACGTTGTAGAGAGGATGTGTCGACACGCAACAACCCGACATTATTTAGCGACCCTGATAGGTTCTGAAGATGCCCGGCTCCTCACGCCCCTGGCGCAGACTAAAGCAATGGGATCGTGGCAATCTTGGGCTTCCGACCTGTTGACACCGGTACTCGAAAGGTAATAGTTAGAAGGTCGCGAAGAGAGCTCGAACAACTTCGACTTTGATAATTAAGGACAATAAACTCATCTTATCGGAACTACATTTGCAAAGCATTCATGATTCATGCTTGGAACCATCTCTCTTTCTCTCTCCAAGTGCTCATCCATTCAGTGGAGTGTTTAACTAAGTCATCGCTCCCCCCAAAACGGGGGATTTGTCTCGTCTGCACCAGGAACTTGATTTCTTTTTAGCTCCATGCCCCATTCCAGGTCTGGTCTACAGGGCCCTAATACGTGGGCGTTGCTTTTTAGATCGAACCAGAAACATCCACTAAGTTGCCTCATGATACTACTTTCGTCTTTTGTTTTGGTTTTGTCCTTTCTCTCCCTAATTTCTGGATTCGTGTCACTTTAGTTTATGTTTCCCTGTTGCTTTTCGTTTCATTTAACTCGGTGATAGTTTGCTACTCTCCAGTCGACTCCAATTGATCCTTTGTATTGCCATGGGGGCGATGCTCAGTCCAGTGCTATACTCTCCGGACAGCGAGTCGCACCGTCAAAATGCTGATACACTGAGCTTCTACCGAAGAAGACGGGAGGCGAAAAGTCGAACCTCGACTTTGCAAATCGGGGTCAAGCCAGTTTGGAAATCATGTGCTCTATGCATGCAACGGCAATGCACATGCTGAGTTAAATATATACAAGAAGGATCTGCATAGAGAGTCATATCAGCAACGCCTGGGTAATAATTTCGGTAGCTGTCGCGGCATGCGGAAAAGGGTGCATCACCAGCATGACCTCACTAATGGAATGAAACCCTTTACTTTTCTTCTGGCTTTTAAAGACCCAGCACGTTCTCACTGCTCCTCCCTTTATGACCCTCCCTCCTTCCCTCTTTATCTCGGGACAGTTATCCAGCTCATTAGCTCACTTTGACTAGCCCTTCCTCTTACCTAAGCAGTGTTTTGACCTCTGGATTGGAATGGAACAGCATGCTGCGGGATGTGACTATTGCAGGATCTAATCTTCCCCTTTCGAGACTGCTAATTGCTCTAGCGTCTTCTCTTAGTTTTTAAGTAGTCACTCCGCGTTCTTCTTCTGAGAACGAGGCTCGAATGCATGTCGAGTCGACCAAATTCGCCTTCCCACCAAAGATTTTTTGCCTTCAAAATGAAAACAAACTCAAATCCTTTTACTGTTGCTGTACTTCCCTCCATGGCTCAAGTGTTGTTCATTGAATCATTGATGACCTTTTAAAAAAGGGTGGCATGATGATGCTCTTTATGGGATTTTCTCCTCTACCTTTACTCAACCTAACCCTTCCTTCCTTCCTTTATAGTAGTAATCTTTGACCAAAAATCACTCGGAAGTAAAGATACAGCGAATGCAATTTGCGGGGGTTGTTAAAAAGCGACACCCGGTCAAAACGACAGTGCAAAAGCACCCAGCGAAAAGAGGCCGCGAAACATTGCCCGCAAGAAAGTCAAAAGGAGGACAGGACAGGACAGGACAGCAGTAGAGGTTTAATGAAAAGAGGGAGTTTTTACATGGATTCGGACAGCATTTCCCCTCTTGTCAATCATGATGGGGGAGGCTTTTATCAACTATCTTCTTCGACACAACTTGCACTTATGGGTCTCGGAAAAAAAAACTTAAGATTAACGCCACGAAAAACTTTAAATTGATACATTTATCATAAATTTATCATAAATTATTTTTTTGATTATAAAAATCTCAAACTAGTACACTTGTGATAATTTTACTCCGAATTAATTTTTTGACCACTAAAAATCCCAAATTAGTACACCCGTGATAAATTTACCCTTCATTAGTTTTCGTTAAGTTTTACTGTCAAATTACTAAGTTTGATGACATGTGGTAGCTGACGGGTGTACCAGTTTGGGGTTTTACCCCTCTGTTTGTCACAAATTTACCAATTTGTGATTTTTTGTAATATTAATCCAATTTAACGGACACTAACGGAGGGTAAATTTGTCACAAATATACCAGTTTGGGGTTTTTAATGGTCAAAAAATTAGTTCGGGGAAAAATTATCACAGGTGTACCAGTTTGGGGTTTTTGGTGGTAAAAAAATTAGTTCGGGGTAAAATTATCATAGGTGTACCGGTTTTGGATTTTTTGTGGTATTAACCCAAAAAATTATGGAGTTGTTTTCTTGAGTACATAATTATTTAAGAAAATAATTAAGTATCTATCTTTAATCGATCATAAGAATAATAATAATAAATTATTATAAATTATTATGAGGTCCACTCATTTAATAATTTGTGTCTCTTATCGTGTGATTACTCTCATATTAGCTCAAAGATTATCATGCTAGCAAAGCTCATTTATTTATGAGTAGAATTTTAGGAGCATGAAATTATAGATTCTCGCATAATTAATACTAGGGTTAGCAATTTGGGGATGGAGGGACAAGTGCAGCAGCATCTTTTTGACTTTAACTCTTTTAATTCCATAATTGGAGGGCGGGGAGGAAATACAAATTCCAAAATGCTAATAATTTAGCTGACCAATGCCACAAAAGCGGATTACTCCTCGACTCTTAAGTCTTCACGCCTAAATATTCTCGAAAATGTTGTGTTTGGGAGGACAAATTTTGATCAAAATGGTATTTTTTTTTGGGGGTTTTCACTCACTCAAGAGGGAGATAGGCCACGCTTTTTTTTCATTAATAAAAAGGGTGGGGAAAGGCGACTAGTCCTAGCGATCATTTTTGGACGCTACCGTAGGGGTGTCACAACCTTTATATATGTCGAGATTGGGGCTGGTGATCGGTTTATAAATGTGAGAGAAAGCATCGCCCTCTAAGCTAGCTTTTAAAGTGAAAGAGGCCAGGACCACCCAACACTGGTATTAGAGTTTAGGTTGGCAATAAGTCTGGACCTAACAGTCACACGGGAGAGATACGGATTATCGCAGCTTTGACCTAGAGTCTGATGTGTGAGGGGGATATTGTTGAGGTTGTCCCACATTGATCGTGGAAGGTTTAACGGTCAATTTATAAGTGTGAAGGAAAGTCTCACTATTTGAGCTAGCTTTTGTAGTGAGAAAGGCTTAAGATCACCCAATAATATAGAAACACAGTTTGAGACATAACTACTCCGCACCATCCGCAACCCAGAAAGCTTGCACTGAAGAAGTATATCGCAGTTATTTCTCCGCACAGTTAGTTTACCAACTTTATTTGTAAATACGAAAAATGTATTCCTCACACAATATGTGCCCAAGAAACGACGTTCTATCATCCCGTGCATGCCTCTACCACTGATCGAGAACTGGTACATTACAATTACGAACGTTTGGATATCCACAGATTAAAGTGCCATCTTTGCAGCAGTCTTTAGAGAGAGATCTTTCTTGGGAGTCACGGTTTCTCGTCGCTTGATAGAAGAGTAGTAGAAGGAACTAACGTAATCTTCTTTTTTGTTGTGTTCTTGATAACCGCTATCTCCTCTCCTTTTTTATTAGATAATCTTTTATTTTTTGTTTTGAATTCTTAAGAAACTGCCATTTAGGTCACGGGCTGGGTTAGCCCAATATGGGCAGCTCACATCTATCAAACCCATAATCCATAAGTAAAAAAAAATTATTTAATAGAAATTCACATAAATATCGATTTTAATCTAAATTTCGAGCCAAAAAAAGAAAATAAAGAAGAAGGACGGCAACATCATGATGTCAAAAGACAAGATAATATAGACCGCATCAGGAGAGGAGGAGGTCCATGCAGACGATAAAATTAGCACTTCCGATTGGAGGGGGGACACACAGGCTACAGATCTCGCCCTTTCGCGCCTATTATTCGGGCTTCCCCAAAATGGGTCAGTTAATTAAACCCGATTAATCATGGCTTTATTACGGGGCAAATGTACATAAGATTACCACCTTACCCCCCGCGGTCCTCAATGATTCTCCCCCCCGCATCCCCCTCGTATGGACCGGATGGGGTTAAAAAAATAAGCATTAAAAAAAATAATTTTAAAAAATAATAAAATAATAAAAAAGGAGGAGCTCGACCCGACCCGACCCGGCCCCACCACCGGAAAAGCCTTTTCCGGGTTTTGAAAAGAGGAGGAACGAAACGAAACGAAACAAAAACCCCCCACAGTAGTACTGCAGCAACTCTCTCTCTCTCTTCCGTCTCTGCACCATTTGCACTCGCTCTCTCTGCAGCGCTTCTCCACCAATGGCGACGGCGGCTGCGACGCCTCCTCTCTCTCCGCTCGCTCCGCGACGCGTCCTCTAGCCGTTCCCGAGCCGCCGCCGCCTCCTCCTTCCCTCCCTCCCTCCCTCCCCGTTTCGCTCCGCCTTCCTCCGGCGTCTCTCGCGATGGCCGCCGCTCCTCCCCCCCTCCTGCTCCGCCTCCGCCTCGTCGTCCTCGTCGCGGCGGCGCTCTCCGGGACGACCCCGGCGAGGGGCGCCGCCCGGAGCGCCGAGGCGGTCGTGGAAATCGAGTCCCTCACCTCCTTCAAGCTCGACCTCCACGACCCGCTCGGCGCGCTGGACGGCTGGGACCCGTCCACGCCGTCGGCGCCCTGCGACTGGCGCGGCGTCACCTGCGCCGGCGGACGGGTCGCCGAGCTCCGCCTCCCCAGGCTCCAGCTCGTCGGCCGGCTCACCGACCGCATCTCCGGGCTGGCCATGCTGAGCAAGCTCAGCCTCAGGTCGAACGCCTTCAACGGGAGCATCCCCGCCTCCCTCGCCAAATGCGGCCGCCTGACCGCCGTCTTCCTGCAGTACAACTCGTTCTCCGGCAACCTCCCGCCGGAGATAGCGAACCTCACGGATCTCCACGTCCTGAACCTGGCGCAGAACCGCCTCTCCGGCGACATAGCCGGCGGCCTCCCCGTCAACCTCCGGTATCTCGATCTCTCGTCCAACTCCTTCTCCGGCGACGTTCCTCGCAGCCTATCCAACTTGTCTCAGCTGAAGCTCATCAATCTCTCGTATAACAACTTCACCGGCGAGATTCCTGCGCTGTTCGGCGAGCTTCAGGAGCTAGAGTATCTCTGGCTCGACTACAATCTACTGGACGGAACTTTACCCTCTGCGATCGCTAATTGCTCTTCGCTCGTGCATTTGAGCGCCGAGGGGAATGCGCTCAGTGGAGTGATACCTTCCGCCATTGGCGCCCTCCAGAAGCTCCAGGTGGTCGCGCTCTCACGGAATAATTTCTCCGGTTCAGTGCCGGCTTCGCTGTTCTGCAACGTGTCAGGTAACTCGCCGTCTCTTAGAATCGTTCAACTCGGCTTTAATGGGCTCACGGACATCATTGGTCCGAAGACCACGCCGTGTTTCGGCGTCCTGCAAGTTTTGGATCTCCAGGAGAATTTAATAGCCGGCACGTTTCCTTCGTGGTTAGCCAATGTACCAACTTTGACCGCGTTAGATTTTTCGAGGAACATGCTTTCTGGTTCACTTCCGGGCGCGATTGGAAATTTGTTTAGATTGGAGGACCTGAGGATGGGGAACAACTCTTTCGGTGGAGCCATTCCTGTCGAGATCCGAAACTGTACTTCTTTGCAGGTGCTCGATCTCGAAGGGAATAGGCTGACTGGGGAGGTTCCTGGATTTCTGGGTGAATTCAGAGGTTTGAGGGTTCTGTCTCTTGGAAATAATCTGTTCTCAGGTCTGGTTCCTGCAAGTATCAGTAATCTCACGGGGCTTGAGACTTTGAATTTGAGGCGCAACAGCTTCGTCGGTACTTTGCCGGAGCGAATGATGGGGATGAGCAACTTGACTACATTGGACCTGAGTGGAAATAAATTCTCAGGTCAGGTGCCTGCGAATATTGGGAACTTGAGCAGATTAGTGGTCTTGAACATGAGCGATAATAATCTTTCGGGGTCGATTCCTGCCGGTTTGGGCAATCTTTTTAAGCTCACTGCCCTTGATTTGAGCAAGCAGAATTTGTTCGGCGAGCTGCCGCTTGAGCTCGCGGGTTTGCCGAGCTTGCAAGTCGTTGCTCTACAGGAGAACAAGTTATCTGGTGATGTTCCCGAAGGGTTTAGTAGTTTGGTGGGTTTGCGGTACTTGAACCTCAGTTTCAATATCTTTTCTGGTAAGCTTCCTTTGACGTTCGGGTTCCTTCGGTCACTGGTGGTTCTCTCATTGTCAGGGAACCGGATTTCTGGTTTGATCCCACCGGAGCTGGGAAATTGCTCTGACCTTGAAGTTCTTGAGCTCGGAGCAAATTCTTTTTCTGGTCATATTCCCTCTGATCTCTCTCGGTTGTCACATCTGAAGATCCTTGATTTAGGGAGAAACAACTTGTCTGGCGAAATCCCAAAAGAGATCTCAAAGTGCTCATCGTTGACTTCTTTATCTCTAAACTCAAACCATCTTTCCGGCAGCATTCCCGACTCATTGACAGAGCTATCAAACCTGAAAACGTTGGATCTCTCCACCAACAACTTAGATGGGAAAATCCCTGCCAATTTTACACTGATTTCTGGCTTGGCGAGTTTCAACGTATCGGGGAATAATCTTGAAGGCGAGATTCCTGCAATGCTTGGTTCTCGATTCAATTCTTCAGCATTTGCCAATAATCAGAACTTGTGTGGTAAGCCGCTCCAAAAGAAGTGCCAGGATTCAACTGAGAGGAATAGGAGGAAGAGGTTGATTCTGCTAATTGTGGTGATCGCATCTGGAGCTTGCCTTCTAACCTTATTTTGCTGCTTCTACATCTACAGCCTCTTGAGATGGCGCAAGAGGCTGAAAGAAAAGGCAGCCGGTGAGAAGAAAACCAGCCCAGCCAGAGCAAGTTCTAGATCGAGCGGAGGACGTGGAAGCACTGATAATGGAGCTCCGAAGCTTGTCATGTTCAACAACAAAATCACCCTCGCGGAAACAATTGAAGCTACTAGGCAGTTTGACGAAGAGAATGTATTAGCCAGGACACGGTATGGATTGGTTTTCAAGGCCTGCTTCAATGATGGGATGGTGCTCTCAATCCGAAGGCTACCCGACGGATCGCTTGACGAGAACATGTTCAGGAAGGAATCCGAAGCGCTCGGCAAAGTGAAGCACAGAAATTTGACAGTTCTTCGCGGATACTATGCAGGGGCACCCGACTTGAGGCTTCTGGTCTATGACTACATGCCCAATGGAAACCTGGCCACACTCCTCCAAGAAGCATCCCACCAAGATGGCCACGTCCTCAATTGGCCAATGCGCCATCTGATCGCCCTGGGGATTGCCCGTGGATTAGCGTTTCTCCACTCTTGCTCGATGGTTCACGGGGATGTGAAGCCCCAGAACGTGCTCTTCGACGCCGATTTCGAAGCCCATCTCTCGGATTTCGGCCTCGAACGACTAACCGTTGCAACCCCTGCCGAAACCTCCACTTCTACTGCGGTCGGCACGCTGGGTTACGTATCACCGGAAGCCGTACTCACCGGGGAAATCACGAAGGAATCCGACGTCTACAGCTTCGGCATAGTACTGCTCGAGCTGCTGACGGGGAAGAGGCCGGTGATGTTCACGCAAGACGAAGACATCGTGAAGTGGGTCAAGAAACAGCTCCAGAAGGGCCAGATCACGGAGCTGCTCGAGCCGGGCCTGCTCGAGCTCGACCCGGAATCGTCCGAGTGGGAGGAGTTCCTGCTGGGAGTGAAGGTCGGGCTGCTCTGCACGACGCCCGACCCGCTCGGCCGGCCCACCATGTCCGATGTGGTTTTCATGCTCGAAGGCTGCCGAGTCGGTCCCGACATCCCGTCGTCGGCCGACCCGACGTCCCAGCACTCGCCGGCATGACCAAACCGGGGGGGGGGGGGGGGAAGAAAGACTGAAATCGTCCATTAACACCACATTTTCCATCTCATTTTAATTATTTTTAGAATGTAACAGTGAATGGTAGCCGATTTTTTTTCCTTTCTATTTTTTCTTTTTCCGAAAATTATCCCCCGGGGTTTTCTGTTGCCTTTCTGTTATTTGACGCTTTTGCCCTCTCTCGCGCTGGTTCCCTCCATCGGGGGTGATTCCGGTGCCGGCCTTGGAGTTTTGTTGGGTGGGGGGGGGGGGGGGGGTCCACCGGGAAGCTAAAAAAAGTCAGCATTTGCCGGTCAAACTGTTCGGGACGTGGGCCGGGGGGGGTGGGGTTGGGGCCCCCACGTGGCAGCAGGCTCCCGCCAAATGCTCAGAGGCAGGAGGCTCCGTCACGTGGCTCGAGCTCCGAGCTTTTCAGAGGGAAATGTAGCCGTTACTGCGGCGGGCCCCCCGGCGCGAAATTAAAAGGGAACTGTCCCTTTCCCCCAGAAAGAGGACTAGGAGGAGGAGGAGGGGCCACACTCCGGCACGGCCTCGACCGGGAAAACCCCCCACGACGGCCGCCCCTCTCCGGCCGCCACGTGGGGGGTCTCCGTTTCGCCCTAGCGCGTCGCCTTTTCCCCGAAAAGGCGACGGGGCCCGGTGGCTTTCGGGCCCCCACCCCCACCCCCCACCGCCTGGCCCAGCGGCGGTGTGAAGTCAGAGCAGAGGGCGGGAGCCAATGTTGGCAGGAGGTGCGCCCCACCACCGCCCTCAATTCATTTTGAACTTTTCGTGGGGTCCCCCATCATCTCTTCTTTTTCTTCTCATTTATCCTTCGATTTACGGAATTGGGCTTTTTGCTCGGTTGAAAATTTGCCTTTTCCTTCTTCCCCTCGTCTTTTCATTTTTCCCCACCAGCTGTTACCAAAAATCAGCAGGAAGATGTCCATCGATCCACCGAGGGAGGGTTCCTTTCTACCTGCTCCCGCAACGCATGCGTGCATGAATGGTTTCTATATACATATATATATATATAAAGCACAAGAACCGAAATATTCGCTCCTTGCTGGGATTATTATTGTAATGGCGGGGGAGGCAGGACAAGCGATGTCCTATCCGATGAAGTGACCGTTGAGTCGTCTGTCCGACCTACTTGTTTAATCCCCTTGGCATTAGATTATTGCTGTTGCTCGCTCGCCCAATTAAGATAAATTTTTTGTCGCAGGGGATTTTCGAGGCGGACCATTTATCGGATGTCCCTACTTAGGCTACTACGATTTGGTTTGGAACCTCGACCAAAAAGAAAGAAACTCGTCGACTTTACCAACGCGTACCGCATCGTTTGCGCGACCCATTCATTAAGACATAACAGCTTTCAGCGCACTCTAGGTTGATTATTTAAAGAGCCTGTCATCAATGTCGAGTTTCTCGTAGACTCCCTGCCGATAGCAGTGCTTCAGAAACTTTGCAATCGAAGGGAAAGAAAAAAAATGCGATTTTCGATCTTGTCCCGATGCTCATTAGGGGTATGCAAAATGGGACTGTCCAAATTGGGAGCCGCTCAGACTGGATCGAACCAGCCGATTTCGGGGAGTATAGATTCGGTTCTCGGTTCCTAAAAGTGGAACCAGTGTCCGGGAGGTCCACTTCCAAGGGATAACATGACCGATTACAAGTATTTTTATTTTTATTTATTTTTATTTCTTAAAAAAAATTAGTAAAATGAATTTCATTCACATAAATTTAAATGTGATCTAAACTTTAAGCGACCGGATCCAAATCGGACTCCGGTGGAATCAATCACCCCTAGTGCTCATGGCACAATCTCAGATCAGCAAGAAGCCAAACGACCCCCTGGCTTTACAGAAACAATGAAGCCAAACCCAAGATGCGATGTCCCTCGAAAGCTACGCTTGGGCTCTATCCCACTAAAATGATAGTAAGCCCTCTCGGTGATTCTGTACATTGGAGTCCTAGTGTATTTTCGCTTGGCAAGAAAACATCAAACGCAACCCTTTATATTGCTTCGATTCGGTTACATTCTCGCCGGAAATAGCCAAGTGCGCAAAGCCAAAACGTCTCTTTCTTACATCTCCCCCCGTTCCTCCTCCCGCTTCCTTTTTCCTCGATCGCGGCAGCAGTCCTTTATGACGTGCGATGCCTCCCCATCAAATCAATGATGAAATTTGGAAATCCATTGCACAAAGCCTAAAAACTTCTCCCCATCTTTCAACTCCATATGAAAGCACATAGATCACGTGTCTTCTCTTTCCCCCCCACTTTGCGATCGTAGTACCACAGATCGCCATGATCACGACGCATCATTACGTGGCATCGTCTCAACAATCTCCTCCCGAGGATATGTTACGGCGGAACTTGTCACGACTACTTCCAAGTCATCTAGGATAAAGGGCATGATCTAAGGAGTCGGAAGGAATTTGAACGCAAGACCCCCAACCAATTTTTCGAGTCGTGCATCATCCTTCCAAGAGCACCGACATTGAAAGGACGATTTTAATGTTTCACTTGCAAAGTTCTTGAGTTGTTAAGCAAAAGAGATTGCACCATGAGTAGGGATCAATGCGACAGAACGTAAATGATGACCACAAAGCGTGAATGGTGAAAACTCAAAAGCGCGGTGGTTGGAATGGTGCTTTGTCTTAACCCCTCCTCTCGCTTGACCGAATCGATCTTTTTTTGCCTAAAGTTTCCATCATAAAAGTAAGTTTTCTGTGGTAGTTATTACTTGCAATGGGCCTGGATAGTAAATGCAGTGACTCTTTTTTTTTTTTATGGTCGGTCCTACTCTATCTCTCACTCACGATACACACTCAGACTTGCGCCCCACCTCTTGCAGGGCGTGGGCGTCGAAACCCACATCTTAAACTACGCGGCCCCACCCCTATCTCCCTGCGAAGGTGGGGATTCGAACTCCCTACCTCCCCCTTCTCAAGTGAGAAGGGTGGCCACTGGGGTAAACCCCCAGTGGTTAATGCAGTGACTCTAGCAACATAAATTTTTACGACAAATTCTTATCTACCACTCCACCAGTAAACTTCACTTCTGCTCTAAATTCGTGTGTGCTAAATTTCAATGGAATAATCTAAAAAGAAAATCTTAATTTTTTCCGTTGAACATGAATACCCAAACTTCTTGTTGTCTCACCAATGCCCCCAACCTTGTACCAATGACCGAACGGTACCTTCCGTCCATATGGCCATTAAAAATCCAATGCGACAGCTTGCGCGGCAGTTAAAAATTTGATGTGGCTACGCTCTTGGTCGACGTGGCAGCATTTGTCCATTGCCACATTAGATCCGTGTGCCGGCATTATCCACGATTGCAGCCACATCAGATTTCTAACGGCCATTACGAATGAAAGCTTACCAGGAGATACTATTGGGTCAACATTACAAGTTGGGGGTATTGGTGAAACGAAAGAAAGTTTAGGACATTGATGTCCCGTGGTGAAGTTTAAGATTTCCGGTGGGATTATCCCCGACTCTAATGTTGTTCGCCCAGGTGGAACTCCCTACATTGCTTACGCCCAATTGTTCTGTTCTAAAGTCCATTTCGTCATCTTGTCCTGAACTCACTACTGGCCAACCGATGGTCAAAGAATAAGGATCCACAAGATGCTCGTGCATTTTCAATGGGTTTCGATTACATTGGTTGTAGGTTCCACACATTGTTCTTTTATTCCATAAATTGTCCTTAACTACCTAACTTCATGAAAAGAATCACTCTCCATGACCATGTCTCTTTGAGATTGGGTCATCCTGATGACTAAAGAGTCCAACAAAATTATTACAAAGTGTGCTTGTCGTCTATCATCGAATAAGGATAACGTGGGAGTTGCCCATTTGTTGCGTTGGACCCTTGACAATTTCGCGCATCTCGCCGTGTTACGACCCGGGCCGTCTTCCCTTAGCTCTAGGACCGTGCGGCGCTGTATTTGGCACCCAATTGAGGTCCGCTCGTTGATTGGTTCTGATCAAATAAGAACACTTCGATAAACTCGGCGACCAACACGGTCCGTAGTCGCATGATACGTCACAAGCTCGTCACCGTGCCATCTGCAGCTCGTACGCCGGAAACCGATAACAAAAACCCTAAAAAACCGGAAATTAAGGGACATAAACAAGTTTTGTGGAGGATAATATCAGTAACAATCATCTTTGTTCATGATTTTTATAGGAGAAGCCTGATTTTCGGTCATTTGCACAAGACCGCTTGATAAAAATAAATTTTTCGTTGGAGGCAAAATGGCTGGGCTTCACGGACATTTGCATGTTGGGCCTGTATTGGGCCTAGAAGCATCTAAGCAAGATGCTTTACTCTGAACCAAATTCAATGTCCTTTTAGTAATGCAACCAAAAATCAGCCCAAAATAGTTATTTTTGGTCTGAGCCCAAAATAGTTTAGACTAACCAATCTTATCTTAAAACAAAAATAAATGTGAGTTTTGGCCATAAACCACATATATAAATGAACTGAAATATACTTTTAGCTAAAATAACCCATTATAATTTGTATAAATTTGGATTTTTGTCATTTAATGTTGTTTTAAAATATTATGGCGGTGCTTGTTAAATAAATGACCTTACCAATGTGATGAATTTATTTATCTAGATAATATATATACTTGGGAAATCTCGAGGCCGATCGGTAGCCAAGTGCATCGCTAAAGGATCAAAAGAAGCTTTTCAATTGTATCCAAGAGAACACGATTTTCCTTTCTAACTGCGAAAATGTATAAGATCAAACTTCTTTCTTCTTCTTTTTTTTCCCCTTTTTTTTTTCTTATGATAGGATGAAAATTCAAGACACGTGATAAGCCAATCACTTTGAAATTAAATGGAAGGATCGAATCCAATGAATCTTATCATCTAAAGATAACTAAGTCAATCGTACATTATGGGGAGTCACTTTTTCAAAGCATCCAATTGAACATGTGATAAATGCTTAACTGGCTTTTTCCTGTAAAGATGGCAAGCTTTGGATCATCGATACGTTTCTCTCGAAGGGTTTTGTGTTGTTTAGATTCCAATCCCAGACTCTTTGATTTCGGGTCTTTTATTTCTAGATTTGTTAGGATTTTTTCAAGTGTCGTATGACCATGTTTTTTGACGAGACGGAATCGATCTGTCGAAATGGCATAAGACTAGAA